GCTGAACATATTGCCAGGATTATGTTGCTTACAATTTTCATCACATTGCGCAGGTGGAAATGAGTTCTCAGCAGTTTCCCCGTTCTGGAGCCCCTCCTGCAGGACTAGGACAAGCACCACCCCCAATTTCAAAAGCGGATTCGCAAAGCCAGAAATGTCTGCTATTTTGGCATCCAGGAAACAATTTCACCATTCACACTAATACAGGTGTTCATGTGTAGTGTATCAATGTGTTATTAAATAATAACTGAATAAAATAATATTAAATAAATAATTAAAAACAACATCCATGTTTTGATTGTTTTTTATTTGGACCTCAAGTGTGTAGTCGGCCCCCGAACTGCTGTTTGATAGTTAATGTGGCCCTCGGGCTGAAAAGTTTGGAGACCCCTGGTCTAGACAATACATAAACCAAGAATGATTATGCACTTGTAGGAAATATTTACCTGTGGCTCAGATTCTTTTCCTGGCATTGATCCAAAATGACTGAGAATTTGTGCTTTCATGTTTTCTTTAAGAGAAGTAAACCAGGCAACAGCTTGATCATAGACTGAATCATGAAGACGGACAAGTTCTTCATACTCCGCTCCCTCCACCTTACCCCCCCAAAAAAAAATATTTAAAAAAAAAAAAGTGTCAGATTTCATATTCTGTACAATTTAAAATGCCTCACACCCAATTATGCTCAACAGTGAGAATTACTCCTTACTAAGGGATGGCTATGCTATGGAAAATGGATGTCTCCAGCTAGTATAGTCTCATTTATCCCAAACTCATGCCAGTCAGTTTTGTGGTCTCTCTAGCAGAAGCTTTAGGTCCTGTCAGCAATCAAGTCAGAAGTACTGACATCTTCAATTGTTCAGGAATTTCTCTTATTGAGGATAAGGAGTCCTCCTGCAAGTGTTCCTGCATAAAGGGATTCTACTGTATTTGAAATCAACACCACTTTGTAGAAGTTGTACTCAGAAGGGGGAAGTAGTAGAAGGATGGCAGGAAGAAACACAAGTGAGACTGACTCCAATACCAGAGATGGTATTAAAGTTTCTGGCAACATCTTCAAACATTTGGTCTGACTATATAGTTCACCTTTACTCACTGGGAACCCTGGGCAGTATCTCAGAATATTAGACCACTTTAACCTTGGATACATTTTATCCCTATTCTTTTTCTGTGTGTTTGCTGGCAACTGAACTACCCAGCATAAACTGGGAAAACACCCTCCTAGAAATTAACAGGCTTGCAGTTAACCGCGAAATTCTGCTTGAGAATCATGTGACCCAACTGGACTTCTCACTGCCATTTACAGGCCAGAACACTGTGAAATGGTACAAGAATGTCAGTCAGTTGGGGTGACCTGCATACTATATCATTATGCAGGCCATTCTTGTTTCGCACGCACGCACACACAAAAATTCGCTAAAATGTGGTATAGCTCAGGTTTTAGAAAAGAACTTGTAATTAGTATTTTCCCATTCACTGCACATATAAAGCTAGATTTCCTGATGTGCATACAAGCATCTGAGTTACCAGATGTATTAGTAGTAAATTCTTCTCTTTAAAATGAGTTCTAAACAAAAGTATGGAATCCTAAGCACTTTAATAAAACTCAGATGTAAGTGTCTTTAGAAGGGTTTTCAATTAGTGTCCTTTTTAACTGCTACTTTAGAACCTGATCTAAACATCATAGGATAGGTTACATCTTTTCAGGTATCAAAGGTTTGAAACTATCCTGAGATTAATGATGTATGACCTCTGGCAGAGAGGATTAAGCTTCAATGGTTTCAAAAATAAAGATGTTTGTTTACGTGGTCATAAATGCACAACATCAACTTGAGATGTGACAAGGACAGATCATTTAAGTGAATCCAAGCTAACATGAATGCACAAAGATTACCTTTTTATCCTCAAGATATTCAATGTTCGCAGTGTTATACCCATCACGCTGACCATGGTTCAAGACCTTAAACCGACGAACACCAACCGTATCAACAACTGAACGCCCATCAGGAAAAAACTTTACATCCCTGATTTCTAGCATGCAGCCATAATCAGCAAACCTGAAATGATAAAAGGGCACTTAAAACAAACAAACCAACCAACCAACCCACATACTGCGTTGCTCTGGTAATAAACAAAAATAAATCTGTGGTTTCCTGTGTACAATGTTGCTTTTTAGTAACACTCTTACACACCTACTTCATGATTAAAGCAACAGTTTTTTAAAAGCACAATTATATATGGGGAAAAAAGAGAGGTGGGGTTTTAAATACATTGGGCAGATTTCATGCTGTGCGCTCCTGAGTACTGGTGACCAGTTATGCAGGGCTTTACAATAATTTGAGACAGAGAGACAGAGAGACAGAGAGACTCTTTCTACACTGCTAAGTAAAGCAGATGTGCCTAGAAATGACGCAGAAGATGTGCACGTAAAGTAAATGTTTTCTATTGCACTTGGGCTGCCTCTGAAATTTTCCTCATTGTTTCCACCACTGGTTCAGATCCAACAGTGAAGACAGTGGTGGGACATTTTAGCAAAAACAGTCTTGACACAAGAAACTGAAAGCTAACTAACACTCCACTATAAGCAAATTCTGATAACTTGCATTCTAAGGGTACGTCTAAACTACATCCCTCTTTCGAAAGAGGGACGTAAATCAGACATATCAAAATTGCCAATGAAGCTGGGATTTGAATTTCCCATGCTTCATTTGCATAATTGCATCATAGCGTTCCCCCCCGAAAAACGCTATTTCGAAAGTGAAACTGTGGTCTAGACACGGTTCTTTCAAAAAGAAAAGCCTTTTTTGAAAAATCCTGTACTCCTCAAAAAATGAGGTTTACAGGATCTTTTGAAAAAGGCTTTTCTTTCCAAAAGAACCACCTGTAGACTGCCATTTCACTTTTGAACAGGCATTTTTTCAAAAAATGCTATGATGTGATGTGATTATGCAAATGAAGCATGGGAAATTCAATTCCCGGCTTCATTGGCAATTTTGATATGTCTGATTTACATCCCTCTTTCGAAGGAGGGATGTAGTCTAGACGTATAGCCTAAGAGGATTGGTCACCATGTAGATTGTAAGTGATACATTGAGAGGGGATTACTACTACTCCTCTCTCATGCATGCGCTCCTTATTTTTGGCTGGGTGGGGGGAGGGAAGGGGATGGGGAAGAGGAAGGTAAAGAAGTTGCCATCCAGTACTCATAGGGGAAAGAATAGTGAAAACAGGGGAGAGGAATCTTCCCAGATCCTCCCCACCCTGCCAGTGCCTCCTGCAAAAATAGCAGGAAGAGGTATTTGGTCAGGAAAATCTTCTCCTGTTCCATACAAACCCCCTGTGAATGGGGTTATACAATACACCCTTTTACAAGGCAGCAACTGGAACTAAAACCCTGAATTAAAATGTAAAATAATTACTGCTGAGCCATGATGGCAGATGGATCCAGTAGGGTACTACTTCACATTACAACAAGGATACTGGCCAAGATCGGGACTATGTTGTGCCAGGTACCGTAAAAAAAGTCAGGTGGTAAGCAAGGTGATGGGAATGTCTGTGCCAGAAAGAAGTAGGCCAGAGATGGTCTTACAGAGAAACCCTTAGAACAGTCATACTTGAAAAGCCACTTTACACTGTTATTTCCATGTTACCAAGCCAGCCAAGCCCCCAAAGGCAGATGGTTTGGGAAGCAAACAGTTCTACATGCTCTGTGGACAGACCAGAGAACCCAATTTTTCTCCATTAACTCCCTCTTTCAAAAGAATGAGTACTTTGCTGTAAGACTCCACCATCCATGTGGCAGTGACACCATGCAATCAAGGGACATTCCATGACTTCTGCAGGATTCTTCAATTCCCAGAAAAAAAGAGCTTATCTGCAGTGTCCTCATCCACCAAGCACAGAATTCTCCTTCAAAGAGCTCAATTTTCCCCACTTCAAACACTTACTGTATGGTCCAACTTTATTAACCCTGGGTATTCATAGAAGTCCGATGTAAACCCAAAGCTAGGAAGCCAGGAAAACGCTTTAGGGTACATCTCTACAGGGATTAAAGACCCATGGCACTGCTGGGCTAGTCTAGGTCAGCAAATTTGGCCTCATTGGCTAAAAATTGCTGTGTAGACATCGGACTGTGTCTGGAGCCTGAGCTCTAGGATCCCACCCTCTGCGGGTTCAAGTCCTGAATGTCTACAAGGCAATTTTTCAGCCCAAACCCCACTGCCTGAATCAGCTGACCCAGACTAACCATAGGTTTATCCTTGTCTAGATGTACCCTTCCAGAGCAGCTAGGGAGAACAGCAACCCTCACCTTGATTTAGTCAACCTTTCCCAGAACAAACCCATGGTTCAGGAATTGTCATAATAGACTCTGTGGTACTACTGACTTCAAAACAATAATATGATGTAGTAAGAAAATTGACACTATGTGCTTTGCAGTTTTTCGACATGTTACCCTTTTCTAGGTAAACACAACCCAACTATTCCAAAGTGAATCACATTGAAACATGCTTTCCAGGAATTACTCTGGATGGCTAGAATAAGTCAACTTTCTATTAAGTATCTCAATGTGAAACCCAGAAAGAGGGGTGTTTATAAGGTTCTCTAAAAAACACTGCAACAAAACTCAGTAACATCTGTATCTCCTATCACAGGCTCTAAAAAGAATCCAACTGGCTATGGAAGACAAGTAGTACCTATAATTCTCCATTGGCTTCCACAGGTCTTACAGTAAGGATGTGGCTCAGCACGATTCCTTACCCTTTTAGTTCATCAGCTAAACACATGCCGAACTGCTTGGTACCAGTTTCCATGCATCTTCTTATCATTAGCCGATACCGAGGTTCAAAGACATGGAGCGGGCAAGGGATTGTAGGGAAGGCCATGGTACACACAAAGATGGGAACATCTTTATTCAAACTGCAAAAATACAAACACGAGAACAGTCAGTTTCCTCACTCATACTGTATTCAGCGCAAAACATTAGAGCTGAGGTTTGACTAGAGTGGTTTCTCAGACTTGTTTCTTATAAAATAAGTTGTTGGCCAACAAAAATTTTAGCTTTCACAGGCACTAGAGCGCCAAGGGCTGTCCCTGCTATTAATGTACTTAGGCACCAAAACCTCCATTCTTAGTTTTAATAGGAGGAAGAGACTAGAAAGTGAAATTGCTTTCTCAAGCATATGCATAGAAAAAAAGCATTTAATTTGCATCTCACCGAATCCTTCACAGCTTTTATCTGCAATTTTCAGAAGAATAAATATTACTGTATACTACAGGTTGAACTTCTCTAGTCTGGCACCCTTGGGACCGAACCATTGCTGAACCACAGAATTTGCAGAACTATGGGAGGTCAATATTGTCTAGCAGCATTACCAACACTTCCACTGCTTACTGGACTCAGAGGACATTTAGGGGTAACTTAGGGCTACTGGCATTGAGAACCAGGACTGGTGGCTGTAAAACTTTATGGGACCGTGGGAAACCTGGCCATGCCCATGATAAAGCAGGCATTTGACAGGCATTTGTTTAACTAAAAATCATGCCAGATCACAGATGTTGCCGAGCCAGAGAGGTTCAATCTGTACATATATTTTAAACATGGCTGGCAAGCAATCCTTGTATTTCAAAGTGAGGTGGATGTTTGGTAGCAATTCAATGGTGGGGGGCTGGAGGGAGAAGGGGAGGGGAACACAAGAACAAAGTTAACTTTCAGCCTCTCTAGCTTTGTAACATACAATCTTATTTTATTTTGTGTTGATTATTTGAAACTCCACGATACAGCAAGTGCAAATAATCATGGATAAAAGCAGCCAACTACTTATAAGGTTGTGATGAAGCACATATGCTTCAATGTCATACTTCTCCTACTCCCAATCCCCCATTCCACTTCTTGCTTTCAGGAAATAATTTTTAATTAGTTTAAAATTATGGGTCGGAAGGGGTTATTCATAGTAATAAATATAGCTGATCTATTTCCAGAACTTGAACAAAATTATTTTCCATTGATGTTGTTCATTTCCCACATCCAAGCCTAGTTTGTCTTGATTACCATCTACTAAAAATCTGTTCCAGTGCTGGCATGTTATGGAAGCCCTTGAAACTACTTTCATAAATAAATTAAAGGTTTCTTCAATAATCTGAATCAAAATAAAATTTTACATTTAGATACAACAGAAAAATAACTTACTTTGATAATTCCTTCATTTCTTCTTCATAAACTTTCTTCCTTTCTGACAATTCTTCTGGCAAGTAATGAACTATTAGTTCTTCTGTAAGGATAGTCTTTTTATAAGTTCTGCTCGCCAAAAACTAGAGAGAAGAAAGTTAAAGTTTAAGTACTAATATTTTATAATCAGTTATATCTAGCCTGCATTCCAAGAGCAAGATAGCTCAAGGGGACTCGCAAAGGTGACAAAATAACGAACGCAGCAGCTTCCTGCTGTAAAGTTGTTCTACTCTCCCTTCCTAAAATTTGAGATATCTGGGATGCAAGAGTGGATACACTATCCACTTCAGTGTTCATATACTTACAGAAGTGCACATCATAAGGTCTACAAAAAAAAGTGTATTCTTCAAAGCTATGCAAGTAAATTGACTTGTTTTTCCATCTATTCAGAACTGCTGGTGAATTGCAATTCAGTTGACAGAAATCAAGCCTGAAATATGTTGGTATTTTCAGTATAACAAAAAGTTGGAAAAACCTCAAAAAACATTTTGGATATTGAGGGTCTCTTACTACCTAGCTCTTAAAGCACTGACCAAGATTGTGGAGAACCCAGGTTCAAATTCCCACTCTAGAAGAGGGACTTGAACCCAGATCTCCCCTCCTATCAAGCGAGTACCGTAATATTCTGGTTTAGAGGGCAATTTTCAGTCTCTCCTGTTGAAGCGATTCCATTTTGTGTAAAGTGTTTAAGTTGTCACTGGACCAGAGAGCGCCGACAAATAAGAATAACATCCCAGTAGTTAAGGCACTCACCTGAGAGGACAGGCAACACTTAGGTTCCAGTCCCTGCTCCAATAAATATTTGATCATTTATGCAAAATGTAACAGCCTCAGCAGGAGGGAGGAGGGGTGCTTTAACCGGGCTAAAGGATGTAAGTGGTTCGCCGCCTCCTCCCATTATGTGAATCTAACAAACACATACAAAACATTTAGGTTTCAAAAAGGTTCAAACAATGCTGGCTTGATATTTCTGAATTTCTTCTGTGCTCTCTCCCCTC